CAGTCTCAAATTGGAGCATCTGTGTAATGTTTTCAGGCTACCTGGGCTAGAAGAGTGCAAGAAAGCTGCATGAAGGATTCCTGGACATTTACTTACAAACCACTGAAAATAAATTCACAAATGTTTCTTGTATTGTTAATAAGAAACTGCTACAGAAAGGCTTATGCATCCTTCACATCTGTAAATGACCGAGTCCCACGGCTTATGCCTGCATTTCAAAAGGGCATTAGATTTCCAGACCGGAGCAGCCTAGGATGGACGAACAGTCCATCTGGCATTTCCCACATTTTTTTTTTTTTCCTCTTCACTCTTATTCAATTAAAATCAAGACTATGTGGATTCAGCTACAAATCAATGTACAGATGATAAGCAACTTAAGACTTAATGTACAGCTGAGCCATAAAACAGATGGAAAAAAAAAAATGGTTAAAGCTCTACATGGTCAGTTAAAGCTTTAATTACTGCATACTGGGAACCAATATGACATATGGGGGAATGCATAGACTAATGCTAGCCATCTCATTTTTAAGAGTAACGTCAAAGTCAGCCTTAGAAGAAAACGTGCATCTGCAGATTCTGAGGAAACCCCCCTGTGATTCTGGCTTCACTGGCAGAAGAAAGCCTAACACAAAGCTCCGCTTTACTTGCAGCCTGCATACAAGTACTTGTAAAGCCACAGGCAATATTATGTTTGGTCTTCCTTTGCAATTAATCATTTGCACAAGCATGAATTCAAATCATTGCAACTGCTTTACATACATTAAGTGATACCTCACACATTTTAAAATTATTAGTTTAATAACTAAAAATACTGATATCCATATCTAGAGAGTGTTCTGTGCACTTTTAATTGACAAATTCCTGAAACCACTAAGATATTTCTGTAAATTGTTCCTCGGTCAAAATTACTGCCATGAAATGAACCTGAAGCTTTGATTTAAGCCACACAGAGTAGATATACTTCCACTAGATTTTTAAATGTATATATAAGTTTTCTTTACTCTACCAAATCTAAATAAAACCACTGATAGTAAACATTGTAAATGTATCCAAACAGAAGGAACTATTTAGAAGCAATAGTAGAAATACAGGAAAAAAACACTCCCCCAAAGGCAGATGGATTTTGTCTTTTAAGATTTAATGTTTTTACCTAATCTAGGATGCTAAGGCTCCATAAGCAAGATTAAGTTTTCAATGCACTATGCAAAAATATCCAACATAACTTTTCTCAAACTTACTAAGAACAAAAAAGTGGTTCGATTTCTGCTTAATTTGAATTTTTCCTGGCATTACACCAGGAAAATTTAGTAAACATGAAGACTCCATTTATTTATGATCACCAAGAGGCTTTTAGTTCTGCCATTCATGACTTCTTTTGTACTGTTTAGAACACGGTCTACTCAAACAAACCAGGATAAAAGCTTCCATCTGATAAAGCTTACCACAACACACACCGAGAGAGTTACAATAACACACTGCTTTTCAACGTGGTTAACAGATCTCAGAAGATATTTAGACTGTATTTGGTCTCTCTAAAATACTAGAATGCAATGAAAAAAATCCAAAACAGCCAACAGTTTAATCATATGTCACTACATACAAAAGAGGCCAATGTTGCCTAAATTTGTGTTATGAATTAGCATTACATTTATTAAAGCCACTTAACGAGTCAGTGGCAGAGCACTTCAAGCACTCAATCCTGTCTAGTCTACACTGCATTGTCATTAATTTACAATATCAAAAGAGCAGAGCAAGCATTGGATGTTAAATTTATGTAAGTTTAAACTGACTCGCAGTTTGGTCCTTTGACAAGGTTAAAAACAACAGTCCATGACAGAAATATGAAATTAAACGTAGAGTAGTTAGTCTTCAGGAAAACTAGGGCCTCTTCCTTCTATAGGGAAAACCAGAGAATAACAGATAAAATGTCAAAACACCAACAGCAATCTATAATTAACTTGACTAAACCAAAGGCATCTTGTTCCTCCTCCCTCAAAAAAGTATGAAACAAAACAACTAGGAATTAAGAAAAGATAAGCTTAATATAGAATATTTTGTTAACCAGAGAAAATATTAGAAGTCCATTTATTAACTATCCCTATTGCTTGTGAAGACAGCACTTGAAACTTTCATACTTTTTTAAAAACAAAGATTGACAGAAGCTTTATGGGAGGTGGAAATACAAACGTCTTAGTTTATCAGTTTAGACGTATATATTTTATACATATAATAGGCCCCTCCAGCTTCTTTTTCCTCCCTTCCACCCTCCAGACCTGCAACAGCATTTCAATTTCACTTTAAATGATTATAGTAAAGAGCATAGTTTCAGTCATGCCGACTTCCAGTTACACTCTTGGTTCTATGCTTTAGTAATTTAATACGCTATTGCAAATCAATTGCTTGTATTTTATCTATTCCACTTCACAGAGACACAATGCACTAAGACATTAGTACTGACAGAATAATTTGGAATTATCAAACAGTACAGACGTAAAAATAGACACATCACGACTGCATATTTTAATGGGAAATGAAACAATTATTTCAGTAATTAATAGACTGCAGGATTATTCTTTTTCTTCTCAGTTACGTTATTTTATTGGGTAAACACAACATATATGTAACACGCCTTACCAGAGACGGTCAGCGTTAACAGCGTCGTCGTACAACAAAATATAGAGGCAAAACCCACCGACCACCAAGGCGTGGAATGTGGACACTGTCCTGCAAAAGAGATCACAGTCACAAGGAGGCACTGCCATGCACAGCTTCATACACTGTGCTTAAGGCAGGATGCGCCCAAAGACATCCTCAACTGCATCCAGATACCTCTGCGGAAGACAGTCGTCCCTTCTTTACGCTACATCCAACCACTTATACAATGACAGGTGGGAAAAACAGTCAAGAAGGCGGCATCTATTAGATTGGGGGGAGGTGCAAACAGGGTCTTAAAGTAACCAAGATCTACATTTTCCTCCAATTATCCCATGTATTAATGAATCTTTAAAGACAATATGACATCCAGTTCTCTAACAAATACTTACTGTATTGTCCCACTTGCTGGAAAATCTACAGGCATTTCACATTCAGATTGGCCCCGACTCCTGCAGCAGCAGGTTTCTCCTTTCAGGCACCAAATTAGTTGATGACCCATAATAAATCTCTGCCAAGTTCAGGTTTTGGAAAGAGGGGCATTAAATGAAAAATCCTACATAGGACAACTTCAGAAAGAATTTCTACTGCATTTGAAGTAGATTCTGGTTTTCAAAGAGAAAACTTGTGTAACAAAAGGTTGTAGCCGAGTAGGTGAGGTATAGCAGCTACAGGCTCCTACGAACTAGCAGCTCACAGCTTTATTTTATACTTCTCTTGTCCTATATAAAGTCACAGTAATCAGAGTTGCCCTGTCCGTACTTGGGTATTAAACACTTTTTTTTTTTTTTCCCCCCCAGACAGCAGTCTCGTGTATAGAGGCTGCATACACACTGTAGATAAACTCTGAATGTTAACAAGCACTTAAAGAGAATTACCTATTTACAGAGGCCCCGACAGGGTTTCTGCCAGCAGGCAGGCCAGGGCCATTCCTGCCCTTTTGAGTCCGCATGTATTCTTGGAAGGTAGAACAATGCAACGGGCACGGGTCCAAAATATGTAACCTTGTTCCTCTAGCCACGGGTTTAACACTACTATAAACTGCATCTAATACTGCGTGGCTACCGTCTGCTTTCCCGCTTTTTAAGCGTGACTAGGAAGAAAATAAAATTGCGTGCCAAAATAGCTCTACTGAACCACGGACAGCATGTGAAAGATGAGCACGCTACATTAGAGGCTGCGTGATCAGAAACACCTTTGCACCATAGCCACGGCATTAACAACACGCACACAAACGGACAGATGCTGTTAGTGATTAGCCTCCCGAGCGTGACTTACGCACATTTAAAACATGAAGAACTTCCAAATACATGTATCCAATATGTACCAAGACAAGACTAAACTCTACCACGCAAGATTTGAAGAAAACATCTTACTGCTTGTGGAAGATTTTGCAAAGAAAGAGTAGGTTATAATCCCTAGGCTGTTTCCAGAATATCATCTATTGGCCTTAAAAGATTCTATGACTTTTCATAAAAGAAATCTCTATTTACAATTTGTTTAAAGAGTGTCATCACGCTATTTGCGGCAGCTTTTTCAAAAGTGTTCCAAAAAATGAATGGAGGTTTATATAATATAAATAGCCAATTGTAACAAGCTGGATGAGAACGTTTACTAACCATTATAGCACAGGCTGCTTTCCCCCACCCCCCTTTTTTTTTTAAGCAATGAAAGAAAATTTAGTTATCAGAATTTTAGTAATAATTAATGATTTAATTAAAAGTGTCTACTCTTGCAACACAGAACTACCGGAGAGCTAGGAACTTTGCTTCCTTTTTAAAACAAAGCATGGCACATAATATTAGTGTTTGAGAAATACTTGGGATTTTTGAACTTTAGGAGAAGATAATGCTGAAAGAAGTAAAATTTGTCCTAGAATATAGCTCAGGAGCTTACAGTTGCAATTTGTCTCAGGAGTGGCTGTTTATCCAAACCTTAGTGTTTAGAATACAAGCTACACACATGCACAGCACTTGAAAGGGGGGGCGGGGTGGGGGTGG